CAGGACTTGCAGATAAATATGTATGTACCCAGGGAGAAGTTCAATTTCTTAAATTTCAGTCCTTTTTTTTCACTGCCTATGCATAATAGGATGCAGATAGGTCAGAGAAAGTACAAATTTTCCTGTGAAGCTTTTCCTGTGTTATACCTAATGTTTTGCCCATACAAGCGGAGTGCAAAGTGCTCGGAACTTAGAATGAAAACCACCAGGTCTTGAGATCTCAGGTGGCCAGAATTTGGCTGTGTGATTTGGGGCAAATCCCTTATTCTTTCCAGACAGTTTCAATGTCTTGGTCTATTGGATAAGATAATCTGATACAGTAACTCAGTATATTTGGATCTAAGATTTATTGTTATTTTAGAAATAACATTATTTCTTAAGTTCAATGCTTCAACTAATCAACTTGTTTTGATATCTTTTTTGTTTTGTTTCATTTCGTTTGGTCTGAAGCATTACCTAGACTTTAAATAGACTTTAACCCAAATAGAATTTAGAAGGGCAAATTAAATTCTTGTTTCTTTCTCACAACCAAGTATCATGACTCTAGGCCCTTTTGAAACAAAGTAAGGCTATACTGTGATTTAAAGCCAGAATCAGAGGAACTGACGTGACAGGATCCTCTTCCTATTCTACCTGCCTCAGTTATAATATGACATAAAACAAAAGGATCGTTTTATCTACTTTTGTGTTGTTAAGGGACATCGCATATTTTATATATGGAATATACTTACCAGAAACTTACAATCATAAAGAGCCTTTAATACACTAGAACAAAAGGGCCGAGGCCTGAATTTTGTCTTAATTTATTCTGTTGTTTAATTAATAATATCAGAATTCTATTGTTTCATAAGGTTATATATTTTTTAAAGTTCCATATAGTTTCTATTGTATAAATGATGTCTATGAGAAAGAGTATTTTACCAAAAATTATTAACTTCCAAAATAAATATACATTTTAAAAAAAATTCTTTCCACATATTACTTGGTTATAAAGAAAATATCATCTCCACAAATATATTAGGAAAGTGTTGCTACTTCGATATATGCATATAAAAACTTTTAAACGTATGATGTCCTCTCTAACTTCCAGATTCTGCCAGCTCTGATTATCAGATCTGCAACCTCTGTGAGTAAGAACCTACGTGACAATTCATTACAAAGACTCACCATTTCTGTACCACTGGATCTCTGGCTGGAAACGTTTAATTTCAGGAGAGATAACTACACGGCAGCCTAGACTCATCGTCTCTCCCTCTCTCCCAAAAGACACATCAAACTTTTCATCAAAGTGGATCTCAAACTTGGATGCATAACCATAAGGGGTCACAGCAACTGGGTGCAACAAAAACAAATATCAGTAATTAGTGTATCTCTCATCAAAGAGACACTAGCATTTTAATAAGCACAGGCAGAAAGCAGTCACAACAAACACTGATCAAATGATTTGTTTGGGCAAAAATTAAATCCTCTATAAGAAGTATGTAAAATATATGCATAAATCATTTGTATGGAAATTCTTCATTGGTCGTGTAAGCTAAATACTGGTTTTTATTATTGTAATGAGTAGAATTTAAAGGGTCAGATTAATGTCTTAAATGCAAATTAATACCACATTTGGCCTAGACTTAAATAGTTAGCTGAAATATATGTACTTT